GCCCCTCCGCCCCGGCTCCCTCCCGCCAGTCCGTGGAGCGCGCACCGCCTCGCCGCCCTTCCTACCCTCTTCCGTGGGCCTCTCGTCTGCGTTTGGCTCCGGCGACTCCATTCTGCTAATCCTCTGGCGGTTTTCTGGGTTATTTAGGCAGGTGTAGGTGGAATCTAAGTGATCAGCAGGACGCGCGGTGAGCCCAGCGTCCTCCTACGCCGCCATCTTCCAGAATTCTCCCTCCTCATCATTCTTATAAAAATAATGTGACCCCTTTGAAATGTAGTTTATTTACATTAAATTTAATTAAAATGTTACAGTTGTCATGCAGTAAAAAAAATTTCGATTACTAATGTCCTTTCTAAAAAACATGCTGAGAATTTTTATCCAGAACTTGGTTGAAACTTTTCCTTAAAGTAAATATGGTTCTCCTGTTCTTTGTGTCTAATTGCAGAAACCTCTGTGCATGTACAATAAAATTACACATCATGGTGTTATCCTTCTGTTAGGGTGTTGTTCAAGTGACCATCAAATACCAGAATATTTAGTCAGACACAATGGTCAAAAAATTGAGTGTTCTATGTCATTTATTGTCAATGAATATAATCATCATGCAAGTTGCTGCTGGTCATTGTATTTGTTGAAGTATAAAAGGAAGCATGCACTGTATTCTAATTTTGGCTCTGGTTAGTGTTATTTGATCTATTCATAAGGAAATTCCTGATTGCTATTCAGTATATTGATTTTGTTATTCACTAGTCAGTTGCAAGTTGCAGTTTGAAAAACATTGCCCTAACAACACTGAGTCGTCTACTTTGGGAGGATAAGAATAAGGACCTACTGTGGGAGGTGACCCAGAATAATGCATGGGAAAGAAGGGGGTAGTCTGTGTGACTCCCCCAACACCAGTCACCAAAGCCTGCCAGTCCTGGTGCACCTACATGTCCTGGGTCCTGAATTTGCTCTTTTTCTCAGGGGAGACGCTTGTTGGAGGAACTGGACTAACATCATAGGTGGATGAAACCCGTTCCAGTTACCTGTATTAGACAACCTAAGTTGTCATTTAAAAAGATGACTCAGAAGTCAGGGATCATAAGAAGTTTGAGGAAAAAAGCACAAATACTGTGTCCACATAGAGTCATTTTTATTCAACCTCCTCAACATGTACCCAGCCTTCTGATCTGGTGACCCATGCATGTTTTTATTTGGTTTTGTTGTATTTTTGTTCATTATTTTCTTATTCATTCCCTGTCTTTCTTCTCTTTCGGAAGCTTCTACTAGCTGAGTGCTGAATGATCCTCTATGCTTACTATGAATAAAGAGCAGAACCCTTCTTCTGAATCTCATTTCACATGTCATCTGTCTATGTGTGTTTTTAAAGGAAACCTTGTATGTATGGAATGAACCTAAATGGTGCATTAAAGGAATTTCTTTGCCTGAGAAAAAGTTGTCAACCTGCGAAACCGTTGACTTTTGGCTGAAAGTGGGAGCAGGTGTGGGAGCTTTCACTGCGGTTTTGCTGGTGGCTCTAACTTGCTACTTCTGGAAAAAGAATCGGAAGTAAGTAACCTCATTGGAGTGACCATGTAAGAACTGAAGGATTTCTTGTGAAAAATGTAGACCTAATTATGGTTACATCCAGTAGTTTCTTTCAGAGAGACAAGAACTTTCTCCTAGTGAAGGAGTTACAGGAAAGGCCTTTAAGAAAAGAAATGGAAATAATTATTATTCTGGTAATAGATTATAGAATGTTAGAGGTTATTGAATTAGGCCTATCTGTATAAAACAGAGAGCAATGGAGGCTCTGGTTTGCTCAGGTAGATGGGAGCAGAGCTGAGATCAGAAGTCAAGTTGTCTCTCTCTGCTTCTGTTTTTCTTTTCATGACAACATTGTGTCTTCTTGCTCCACTGTTTTCTTTTTCAGTTTCTTGTGGAAAGATACTTGCAAAGAAATAGACCAAGTTTATAGGCAGATATGACCTCTGTTTACTCCAATACTCCAAGAATCTAGAGTTGAATATTGAGTCTAGTTTCTTAATGTATATTGATCTGTTATAAGGTAGTAAATAGAAAGGAATGAGTTGTATAGAGAAACAATAAAGACCAAATCACTTACCTATGGTATTTTCATGCGTATGAACTAAACTTTGGAAAATTATATAGTGAGTTAGCTTCCAAATATTTATACATTAAGAAAATGCATTCAGATGTCAAGGTTTCTCTCTGTTTTTCAAAAGTTCTTCATAATTGGGCAGTTTAATCAATGTGAGTTAATTGATAACTTTAACTGTACTGCCGTTATTCTCATTATTCTCTGAAGTCCTGGAAAAGATTTCTGCATGGATGGTAGATAAATGAGAACACACAGTGCTTTAGCCATAGGCGAGGGAAATAGTTGTTACCAGTAGAGCAACTATACTACAAGAGCATTTAAATAGCTGGTTTATGACCACCTAAAATGAGTATTAATTTATATTAATCAGCCACTTTATTTATCACTACTTAGACTGGAGTACAAATATTCCAAGTTAGTGATGACAACTAACTCAAAGGAGTGTGAACTCCCAGCTGCAGACAGTTGTGCAATCATGGAAGGAGAAGATAATGAGGAAGAAGTTGTATATTCCAATAAACAGTCACTACTGGGAAAACTCAAATCCTTGGCAACAAAGGTGAGAGCAGAATTGTAAGCTGGTATGACTGTGCATTTATTGATGAGGGGCTTATTAACCTAGTAGTAGCATTCATACAACCCTGTCATTTGGTCTGGCTCTGTCTCCATGGTTGGTTATCCAACAGAAATACCACTAGAAGTACACCAGGATATAAACATAAGAATATTCACTGCAGCATTGTTTTTTTTCTGGCTAACAAAGCAGAAACAACCTTACACACCATGAATAAGGAATAGATAAGGAATTTCCATATACAAAGTAATGGAATACTATACAACTGTGCAGCTGTGAAGATTGACATATCTGCTAATAGGTCCAAGATAAGTAAAGTAAAACAACACATAGACGATCACAGTAATTAAATACTCATTTAAGTTCGTCTTTCCATATCAAACTATTAACAGTGGCTGCTTTTTGGGAGTCTTAAACTAATTGGAATCTTTAAGTTTTGAAATAGTGTATTTTTGTACTTTTTGGATTTTCACAAAGATAATGTATTCTTTTCTAATTTTAAAAGTCTTAGGTTAATTAAAGATCTTACTTTTTTAAAAAAATTTGGTCACAAGGTGTTTTCACATTGAAAAGGCCAAAGTTATATAAACTGTTGAGGTATTAAAGGTACCTTATCAGATGCCATCACATTTGTCAGGTTTGAAATGATTACTGTGTCCAAACAGATTAACATTATTAAGCCTTAAATGTTGCTTGTAAACACATTTTATTGACATTCTTTACTATTGACCTAAAATAGGAGAAGTTAGCAGTTTACCCCCTCAGCATTAAAGATAGAATGAAATAGAGGAAAGAAAATGTGTTTCAAATAATTTTCAGCAGGAAGGACAAGTGATAAAAGATTACATTTATTGAGAATGTTTTAATAACTATTTCCTTTTACTCTCATTTAAGTATGTAAATATATTACAAGGTATCATTTAAAAATAAAATGAGCCATATTTACTTTCTGCTAATGATTAACTTTTTTTTTTTCAATGTGGTACCTTAAGAAGGATGCTATTGCTATGGAATAACAAATGTACAGTTAGTATTAAGAAATGAGATGTTGCCCTGCTTGCAAAAAAAATCAAATAAGCCTGCCACTGTTTCTTGGCCAGTTTAACAGACATGAAGCTCCTGGTCAGAGACAAAGGACTGCTCAGCACTCATAGCAGGAGCATTAGCCAGGGTGTCAGAATTTATACCAGTTCCCCAAATCCTACTTTTCTCAGGGCTATGTGAACAGGAACAATTGTCCCTTGCACACTCAATGGCTTGCATTACAGCAAAGCAAGTCTAAGCTTTGGCTACTTGGCTATTTTAGAATGTGCAGTTAGCATGCCTATTCTTTGCTCTAAAGAGAGTTATTATTGTTATTATTCTAGACAGGTAGTATGTGTGTTCATTGATCCAGAGGGAGACACTATTTCCTGACATCTGCTCTGGAAAAATATGGTATCTTTAACTTCCAAGGCTACTTTCTATACCAAGATCCTTAAAGAGATATCTTGAATAAAGAGAAACCACTGCCTTGCTCATAAGATGTAAAGAAATCCAAAAGAACCATGGAGAATTGTCTCCCCAAAATATCCAAACCTCATTTCTTTTCCTTTAAAATTTTTATAATGTTTATTTATTTTTGAGAGAGAGAGAGAGACAGAGAGCAAGCATGAGTGGGGGAGGGGCAGAGAGAGATGGAGACACAGAATCTGAAGCAGGCTCCAAGCTCTGAGCTGTCAGCACAGAGCCCGACACTGGGCTCAAACTCACTAACTGTGAAATCATGTCCTGAGCTAAAGTTAGATGCTTCATCGACAGCCACCCAGGTGCCCCTCCAAACCTCATTTCTATACCATCTTGGCTCCTGATCAGTTTTCCCATTAGTATAGCACTGTATCCACCACTCTGTTTAATCTGATTGACTAAGGCTGGGTTTCAATCTGGTCACTTTACTGCATATAGCATTTAAATAAAGCTACTACTGTTAGGACACCAGACAGCAAGATGAGATGAACCTTCATTGTTAGCTTCAAACATACACCCAGGGTCCCAGATTCAACTAGCTGATTAAATCACATAAACCATGAGGGTCCACCTTAGAAAGCCAGGCAGCTTTCTCTTTAAGTCCCTCTATTGACATTTCCGCTCAGCCTGCAATCTTTCCATTGGCACCGGGATCTTTCTTCCATAAGATTCATGTGGAAGAGAGTCACAGACGTTTTCAAAAATTTGCAGGATCCAATAAAGCTCCCACTTTTGTCTACATGACCATGGCAGAGGAACTTGGTGAGTAGTATATTCAACCAAGTGGTTACTATCTTTTTGATCTAGGATGATGACAATCCAGACACCACAGAATGTATGAGGGACTTCACAGACTTTGTCTTGGCCCTGAAGGGTGACGTTTAGGTCAATTATATCATCCATAATAGTGTTTGAATAGTGAGTTGATGTTGACATGAATGTCATCAGAGGCTGAGATAGTGTCATTCATTATTTCAGCTAAAGTCAGAGACAAATTTCATACCACCTTTTCTAATTGAATACCTGCCTTTAGGGTGAAGGTGAGTAACATCAGTTATCCCTTCAGATACCTCTAAATAACCAACAGTAGTCTCATTTTGAAAATCCTTGGAATTGTTTAACGGTTAATGATATATTGGGGCTATTTCCACAAATAATTGAATTATGACCACTTAGAACCATTCCTAGGGTACAAATCAAGCCACCATGTTTTTAGGAGAGAAATTAATACCTGGATTCTGCACGAGAAGTACAGTCCTGAAGGTACATATAGTGCCTTTGGAAAGAAAATAGTGTTTACAGTTGTTGGAGATACCAAATAGGACCTTATATTAGCTAAGCAACTCAGACTCCTGGTGACTGCAAGCTCCTTGCTGGCTAGTAAACCTTAAGGTTTCCCATTCACTTCAAGTAATTCTGTCTCTTCATTGTCTTTGAAGAGACTGCTTGAGGGCAGTCATTCCAACTTTTCCTGTTTGCCTGTGCTGCAAACTAGGTGGTACTTCTTCACTCCAAGGAATGACTGAGCAATGGCAATAGGAATGGTAGTGTTGATGTTTTGGGGGCAGAAGCTGGGGCCATTCCCTGTGCTACTTCGGATCGACTTCTCAGTAAGTTGAAGAGGAATTATGGTTAGAGCATCTGATGGGCATGGTAGACCTAGGAGTCTTTGAGACTCCTAGGTTTGAGAGAGGAACACTAAGGCATTGTCCTTTATAAAAGGTGACAGAGTGGCTCTGAAAAACAAATGATCATTAATATCCTTCCATCGTTCATACCTCTCAGGGTCTAAAGTATCTCCTTCTCAGGCACCTCATTATCAGACTACATTGTTAATCTTCTTCCACTGCCACAAAATCAGTTTTTCCCATTTCAGCTAAAACTTTACCTTATTTCTACTTATCCCATTATTGGCACCCAGACCTATGCTCCAGAACATTCAAGTGCAAGAGGGACAAAGGCATTAAAAAAAAACTTATGATGGAGACCCAGTGTGTCCTCTACCCTTGTCCATGTGGGCTGTGGTAGGAGGTCTTGATAAGCTGTGTAGTCAGCCAAGTGATTGGTATTCTTTCGGTCTAGGGTTATTGACAGTCCAGTAAAACAATACAGATGGCTAAACTAGAATTATATTTGAATCTCCTAGACTCCCTTCTGGTGGGGTTTACTACCAGCCATTCTGGGAGTGGCTTTTGAGTAAAAAGGACACATCATGTCCAGGAGTGGTCAGGGTAGAAACCTGGATTTTTTTATAAGTGTATATAACCTTATATAAGTGCATATAACCTCAACTTTCTTACTGATAATTATGTGTGACACAGCCAAGAGGAGATTATCCCTTTCTGGGGATAGCCATGTTTAGTAACTGAATGATCTTATTAAATGTGTGGACTAGGAGGAGGTGAGGGAGATAGAGTCAGAAATCTTTTGATTTGATTTTTGAGAAGGCCCTTCTAATGGTCAATGATATTTTTCAACAGTATGAAGTGTTGAACGTCAACTGAACACCTGTACTCTCAGCCCATATTCAGGTAGCTTTGGTGATAAAAAGGGCATCATTTTAGACTGGAAGTGATTCATAAAGCCACAAACATTAATAAGATTGTTTTCAAAGGCCATAGTGGTGTGGCTAGAGTCAACAGATCAGACTGAAAGAGGAACACCATAACCTGAACAGGCATCACAAGTGGTAAGGAATTACTGACAGCCCAAAGAGAGGTGATCAGAGATGTGACATACATAATCAATTTTCCAGGGAAAAGCTGGTCAACTTTTGACCTGAATCCCAAGTCTTGCATGCTGTGGTAACCTCTGCATCCAAAAAACAGTCCTTTACTTTGCGCTCAGTGTGTGATGCCAGATTCATTGCCATGGTGGACAGAATGATGGGTCCGTGCAGCATTTTTGGCAGTCCAGTGCAGTTTCTATCATGTGCTTAATTCCATTTGATCTTTTCAGACAATGGGTCCTTAATGGAAGTATCTTCATGAATGACCCAGATGATTTGATCAGCTAAGATTTGTTTCTGGAATTTGTTGCCCCAAAGGGGAGTAACTTTAATGTGCCAGTCTATAGTTTTCCAAGTGGCAGACCAAATAGTCTATTGACTCTTGGCAATAGCTCAAGAGTTACTGGAGATAGAATAAGGTTTATCAAGAGAAGTACTGGCCACAGCCATGAGAGTGGCTTTGGGTTCTGCCCACTGAGCCAGACAATTTTGTAGGCTTTCAGTTATTCATACCTGGTGTTGAGATAGGACAGCTACAGCAGCTGGTCGACACTCGTTGGGTGTCAGATCAACCAAACCATCAGTGAATGCAGCCCCAATCATGTAGTAGAACTTTGGTGAACCAAGGGCCAGAGCCAGTGGCTTCATTTTTGGAGGTGGAGTAGGGGATAAAATTCCCCCCGTAAGGTATGCTGCCATATTTTCCTGTGAGGCTGAGTTGCTGCTGGGAAGTATCAGCTATATTGCTGAA